AATTGGTGGCTCTGTAAATACTTTTTTGCCCCACTGTATATATATATATATATATATATATATATATATCAGTTTTCCTGTTTGGCCGATGCGTTCAAGGTGGGACTTTTATTTTGACGGCGCTGACTGCGGCAGCACCTGAGCACAGTGATCACATTGTCCCTCTTGTTCGCCATCGTCGTTAACAGTTCTGTCTAATACGGATAGAAGTCTGTCTAATAATCAGATAGAACGGTTAAACAAAGGAATTACAATTTATACAAAAAGTACATTATTAGTAACAGAAAGGCAAACATTATAATACTTTCTTGTTTGCCGTCAGCATTCAGCAAATATGTATTTATATAATTTAAACAAATCTTTGAATGACTAATGAACATTTAATTTCACAAAGCTTGCAAACTTAGTCAGATCCAGTTGTGAGATCTTGTGAAGTGTGCATTTGTATCCTGCATGATCGCGTGTTCTCTGCGTGACGGTCGATCCGTGTGAATTGAATGCAGACAGGTAGAGAGTTCAGCTTCACTGGAGACGCGCGATCGACAAACTTTAAACTCGTGATTTTAAATTATGCTGCGCTTTATGCATTTGCCCACTGCCATATTCATGTCATTTTCACTGTGTGCTGTACGTAAAATGAGTGTTACCTTGGCTTTATTTGAAAAAATATGATTCCCAAATTCCAATGCACACAAACTTCCCAGAATACTGAGTGCCCTGTTGGTTACAGTGTTTACTTCCTTTTTTTATTATATTATTTATAAAATATTTATTTATTTGTGAAAAATACTTTGTCATCTAAAGTATAAGTATGTTTATTTAACACATTTACTTTTTAATCCATTTTCAAATGATTTCAAATTTCTTAAACATTAAAATAAATAAAATTATATCGGCTTTATATCGGCCATTGGCCACCCTGCTTTCCAAGATATCGGCATCGGCATTAGCTGTCAAAAAAACAATATCGGTCGACCACTACTGGTGGGCAAAAAGCGTTTTCATACTCTGGTTTGAAAACACTAGAAAATTCTGTCCCGTCTATTGAGCTGGGCCACTCTAATGGGGTGATGCATGAACAATATGGAGGGAGGGAGGGAGGGAGGGAGGAATGGAGGAAGGGAGCAGGCACTCATGCTGATGGAAGAATAGAGTGTCTCGATCTCTCCCACACATTCTTCACACGCTCTTCCCTCTCCCTCTTTCACGTAAGTCTCTGCACTAGCCTGAGCTCTGTCTGCTGCTCTTTGCAGATTCAATATTTTATCAAATATAATATAAAGGTAAATGGCTGTCAATAAAGAAAGTTTATCAGAGTGTGCATAGTGCGTAAGTTGAACAGAAGTTATTAAATGATGATTGCTACTGGAAAATCATCAGAAAAAAAGAAAAAAAAATGTGATTGAGAAAAAGCTCATGATCTTTAATGACTCTTCAGTAGCAATGCGTCTAAAATGCAAGCTGGGAATGCACCAAAACTAAAACAATTTAGATAGGTACAGCAATAAAAACAGCATCCAAACAGGCAGGAATTCTGGGAGCTGTGTTTGACTCGAACCACATCATGAAGACCACCCAGTCATGAGGATTGGCATAAAACATCAGATCAAGAGTGCATGTTACAACTCTCTTTGACTCCCTTCACTGCCTACCAGTCGCTGCCCACATACATTTTAGTAACCCCCTTCCACCCCCCACCCCCACCTCTACCTAACTCCCCTGCAAATTTGCTCTGTGAAATGCTGTAGTACTCCTTATTAGCATGTAGCTTTGGAAAATATTTTTCAACAAAGCTTTCTGCAATGTATGTTCATTGCAGATTACAACAGAAGTGTTCTGGTTTAATCATGATGCAACCATTCACACTGGAGGTGAGCAAGTGTTAAGTTATTTGACTATTTAAACACAGCAGGCCCATCAATTAGATCGAATCAGCTGACATATCAAAGCACATCTTGCATACACCATCGAGAAATCCTTTTGCTCTTACCGGGACTTGGGCTGAATCCATGAAGCGCAGGCCAAAGTAATCCTTCTCGACAACGTCCAGGTGATACATGATCTGTTCAAACAGCTCTGCACCTTTGGCTTTTTTCTGGAGAGAGAGAGAGAACATTATTTAAATCCTAACAGTTCAGTGCCTCGCATGCGTAGCTTTTAAACTGATATCAAGTATGTAATATTATGCAAACTTCATTCTTGTTTATAACTAAGTACGTGTATTGGAATTACATGTACTGGCTTGCAATAGCACGGACACAGCAGGTCAGTGGATAAGGTCTTGGCCAAGCAGGCCAATCTAGCTTTGACTAAAACCATGTCTCTGTTCCAAACATCTAAAGCAAAACCTTCAGATCTTTAGAATCTGTTTAAAGTGTGTGTGTGTGTGTGTGTGTGTGTGTGTGTGTGTGTGAATATAAACACTCCAGCCATCTATGGGACAAAGTCTCATTAATGTAAAAAATCCCAACTTCCAAACCGCAGGAGGAACTCTTCTGACTTTGTCTGAAAAAGTCTCAACAGCTCAACCACTTGACTTCAACTGTGTCTGATTTCAAACTATAGTTCTGCATCCTATCAACTCAAGCCAGCGATTCACAGTCTAGCTTCACAAAGAAGAAAGCCCCTGACCCATGACCACCGAAGACATAAACAAAAAGAGGAATAGTCAAACATTTCACAAGTTTGGACCACAACAGCGAGTGATAAATGTTAATACTAGAGGCAATTAACAAAGGGACCATTTCATGGACTGTGATAAAAATAAAGTGAGTTATAAGTTTAAATTTCTAGTTTTCAGAAGATCCAAGACCATCAAACCCCTTTATCTTTAGCATACTTCATCTAAATACACTGTTTAGTACCCAAAGTAGTAGTTTATGAACAGGTACATCCATGCTAGAACCATGTATGAAACAAAGAGCGCTGACACACAAGTGTCTCACCCAACTGCTGCACTCAGAGTTGGGGAGGCTGGTTTAGCCATAGCCTAGGCGAACAGCACCGGATGCTCACGCAGGCCCCAGTGAGTTGGCATAGCGTACAAAGCATCCCAGCGAGCTGCAAGAATGCAGACAAAGAGTCCATTGTGTGCTTGAGTGAACCCCAGGCTCAGGACTCACATTGTTCAGCTGAGGTTTTCCAGGCTGCTAGGCCAACATACAGCCTTTGGAGGCGCAGTTATATTCCTCAGTGTGCTTCCAGCAAGCAGGACAGAAAGTAACACTTGGTTTAATTGCTTGTTCTGAACCCACATCCACCACCCTATCTCAGTAGGTATTATATGTTAATATATTTTATTAGTTCCGAATAACAAATAACAAGTCAGTGGTTTGCACAGATAATCTTAAAAACTAACCAAATGCAGTGCTCTGATGTCAGTGTTGGTGGTGCTTGAAAGTGTTTTTTTTGTTTAAAAGAAAGAAGTTTGTTTAACATGCTGATATGTTTCAGTTAAGTTTCTAAATTCATCCCCTTTAAAGTACTGCTACTTCAAATATCAGAGCAATGTTTTTCTTATAGCACACTATCAGCATGCTAAAACTCTGAGAAGAAAATCTGAAAAGTTGCACATATAGGCTACATTCACACTGTCAGATTTTGGGATTGACAACCGTATTTACTTACAGGTGTGAGTCTTGAAATGTCTCCAGTTCACACAGCAACTTGCAGTAGCATCTCGAATACGGTCTGAATGAATGTGCAGTGAGAGTCAAGCCTGTATTCCTTACCAGTAACCATAGTGACACTG